CTCCATTCTTCCTCCATACTCTGGGTCCTTGATTTCCAAATGAGATGCGAAAGTTGCTCTCATCAGAAAACAGACTTTGGACCACTGAGCAACAAACCAAGTCTGTTTTTCTTTAGCCCAGGTAAGACGCTTGACAAGAGGAATATACGACATTTGAAGCCCATGTCCAGGATCCGTCTGTTTGTGGTGGCTCTTGATGCACTGACTCCAGCCTCAGTCCACTCCTTGTGAAAGTCCCCAACACTTTTGAATGGCCTTTTCCTGACAATCCTCTCCAGGTTGCGGTCATCCCTGCTGCTTGTGCACCTTGTTCTTCCACACTTTTCCCGTCCACATAACTTTCTATTAATGTGCTTTGATAAGGAACTTTGGGAACATCTAACTTCTTTTGCAATTACCTTTTGAGGCTTTCCCTCCTTGTGCAGAGAAAACCATCATTGACACCCTCCATAACTGTCAGGTCAGCAGTCTTTTCCATGATTGTGTTTCCTACTGAACCAGACTGAGACCATTTAAAGGCTCAGGAACCCCTTGCAGGTGTTATGGCTTAATTAGCTGATTAGAGTGGGACACTGAGCCGAGAATATTGCACCTTTTCACAATATTCTAATTTTCTGAGATTGTGGATTTGGGGTTTTCATGAGCTGTAAGCCATAATGATCACAATTATGACAAATTACGGCTTGAACTATCTTGCTTTGCATGTAATGAGTCTCATATATTAGTTTCACCTTTTAAGTTCCATTACTGAAATAAATTAACTTTTGCACGATATTCTAATTTTTCGAGTTTTACCTGTATGTGAACAAAATGGGTCACTCAAAAGCTCAGTGAATTCAAGCGTGGTGCCGTGATAAATTGCCACCTGTGCAATAAGTCCATCCGTGAAATGTCCTTGCTACTAAATATTCCACAGTCAACTGTTAGTGGTATTATAACAAAGTGGAAGCAACCGAGAACGACAGCAACTCAGCCACGAAGTTGTAGGCCACGTAAAATGACAGAGCGGGGTCAGCACATGCTGAAGCCAACTTTCTGCAGAGTCAATAGCTAAACACCTCCAAACTTCGTGTGGCCTTCAGTTTACTACAACAGTGCGTAGAGAGCTTCTTGGAATGGGTTTCCATGGCTGAGCAGCTGCATCCAAGCCTTACATCACCAAGTGCAATGCAGAGCGTCGGATGCAGTGGTGCAAAGCACGCCCCAAGTGGGCTGTAGAGTAGTGGAGACGTGTTCTCTAGAGTGACGAATCACACTTCTCTGTCTGGCAATATGCTTGACGTGTCTGGGTTTGGCGGCTGCCAGGAGAACGTTACTTGCCTGACTGCATTGTTCCAAGTGTAAAGTTTGGTGGAGGGGGGGATTATGGTGTGGGGTTGTTTTTCAGGGTTTGGGCTTGGCCCCTTAGTTCCAGTGATGGGAACTCTTAAGGTGTCAGCATACCAAGACATTTTGGACAATTTCATGCTCCCAACTTTGTGGGAACAGTTTGGGAATGGCCCCTTCCTGTTCCAACATAACTGCGCACCAGTGCACAAAGCAAGGTCCATAAAGACATAGATGAGCAAGTTTGGGGTGGGGAGACTTGACTGGCCTGCACAGAGCCCTGACCTCAATGCAATAGAAAACTTTTGGGATGGATTAGAACAGAGACTGCGAGCCAGGCCTTCTCGTCCGACATCAGTACCTGACCTCACAAATGCACGCTCCCAAACCTTGTGGACAGCCTTCCCAGAAGAGCTGAAGCTGTTATAGCTGCAAAGAGTGGGCCAGCCCAGTATTGAACCCTGCGGACGAAGACTAGGATGCCATTAAAAGATCATGTGCGTGTCAAGGCAGACATCCCAATACTTCTGGCAATATAATGTATATCTGATAAATATATACTCAAAATCCCCATACAGTAAAAAGTCAGTAAGTGAAAAGAAAGTCCAAGTGAGTTCATAAAATTTCCAACATACAAAGTGCATAGACATTAGGCGAGAAAAAATGAACTCTATTAAGAAATTCTAAAACTCTCACAGAGTAAAACTGTCTCATGCCTAAATTCAAAGGGAAGCTCATGTTGCAAAATAGTAGTAAGCACTTCAGATGAGCTCAATGTTTCAATTTCAAATTGGTACTCCACACCGAGAAGGTGTTACCTCCTGGTTTCCCCACAGACCTACTACTGTCCCCATAGGCAGAGTTACCCATCCAAAATGAGGTCTTAAACTAATAAGTATGTCATAGCAGGCCATTATATTAACTTTGTAAATATACCTCTGTCAATACAGGAACCACTCCTCTAGAGGTCTCAGGATAACACTCATAAATGGATGAGAGGAAAAAGGCCATCACATCGTAACCAATTTATTTAAAGTTAAAAACAAAAGCCATCAAAAAATCACTCACACAACACAAGTGCTCACTTAGGCACTAATGTATGTCAGTGCAATGTCTTCCAGACTGTGAAACTCTAGTCTGTGTGTGCACAAGTGCCTGCCCCAATGCATATTTGGCATCACAATGATGTACAGGGTAATCATTAAGTTAAAAAAATGTTTAGGCTTTAACTCCCACGGTTGAATTGTAGGCCTAACAGGGGGAACAGTATATGTAACCCCTTGTATAAGTTTACAAATCTGTAAAGGATTAGCAAGATGTTGAAAGAATGGAAAGCAAAAACACCTGACCAGTGATGGTGCTAAGGGTACAATGTTTTAGAAAAACCTCAAAAATGATAGAAAGAAATAACATGGTAGAGGCAAAAGAGCATCAATTAACAGACGAAAGAGGTTCGTCCACATCCATCATCCTGCAGTGCAGGCGTGTTCCAAACATTTTGGCTGTGCTCAGGCGGGGGGACCGCAGTGATGTAATGGATGCGGGGGGATGGCAGTGATGTAATGAATCACAGCTAGGACTGCTTTCCTTGGACTCCACTGTGATGTGTGACTTCATCAAGTCATCTACAGTGCAAATATCCTGTCCGCAGTTCCTGACCTGCTCCTGTATCCTATCGGCAGTTCCTGACCTGCTCCTGTATCCTATCGGCAGTTCCTGACCTGCTCCTGTATCCTATCGGCAGTTCCTGACCTGCTCCTGTATCCTATCGGCAGTTCCTGACCTGCTCCTGTATCCTATCGGCAGTTCCTGACCTGCTCCTGTATCCTATCGGCAGTTCCTGACCTGCTCCTGTATCCTATCGGCAGTTCCTGACCTGCTCCTGTATCCTATCGGCAGTCTCTGACCTTCTCCTGTATCATGTCTGTAGCCTTTAACCATCCCCTGTATCATGTCCACAGTCTGACCAATTCCTGAGATGGAGCTCTAATAGGAAGAGGTAGCAATCAAATAGAAAGAGGTGGAGCCTAAAGAAGGGGCAGAGTTTACAGGTGATGGTGTGGATCTTAAACAGGAAGAGGTGGAACAAAATTTAGATGGGGGGGCACCAGATTTTAGTCTTGCCTAGGGCAGCGCAAAACTAAAATGCACTACTGCTCATCAGATGATGGAAAAAGTTCATTTAAAGTTTAATATTTTCACATTTTAAAATGCCTGCAGTGTTTAAGGTTTAAAATCCATGTATGCAAGAGTGTACATGTGTTCACTGGTGGATAACAGTTGTAGGACAAAGGTTCCTTATTTTAGTCCAAACAGAACTGACAGCCCCATGCTGATGAAGCCACCTAGGCCAAGACAGATTTTCTATATGAAGAATTCCTGAACTCAGTCATTGTGAATCCTTCATTGTCCGACTCATCTTTTGAGCTCTCATCTGCTGGCTGTGGTGTTTTTAAAGCAGTCTTAACGTTAGACGGTACCACTGGTGTCTGCTTAGCGCCTTAAGAAAAAAAGCGCTTGCCTGAGCTGGTTGTGGCAGCTTTTTGACAAAGTGAGATGGAATAAAACTTTAAAAAGGAAATCTCTGTTTTTGTTTGAAAAAACAACAAAAAAAAAACAAAAACAAAACAAAACTGAGATAACTTGCAAACAGAGTACAGACAGAGTGTAATTCTTCATTACCAGCTGTAAACTAGACTGGAACTGGATCTGTCCTAGCAAACAGTTACATAATTTTTTGTCAGTTTATATTTATTGAAAAGGAATCAGCACAGGATCACTTTCTATGTAAAAGACCACTTGCTTCCTGCTTGTTAAAACACTGCATCCTTGCTGCTCTGTGGCAGCTGCAAGCATTCCCCACTTCCTGATGTGTGAAATACTTGCTCCACCAATGCACTCTGGGGCTTCTCCTGCCAGCTATGTCACTACAGGATGTGGCAGCAGAAACCACCGTATCTGGAAGGGGAAATGGGTATTTGACTCTTAGAATACTTGCAGTACCCACAGAGCAGCAAAGAAGAGACATCTACAAATACCCAGCTACAAAAGAACTTTACATACAAAGTGACACTGTGCAGACTGGGTCACTTTATTACCAGTTTTAATCTGCAGCCATATACCCATCCCGGACAAAGCAATAGGTTAATTTAGCTGCTGCTTTTCCCAAATTCACCCACTTTTCATTAGCTCTCCTTCTACTTTGTTTAGCTATTGGGAGCTAAGAGAAACACTCAGTAGTTCCAGGTATGGACAACATGTGACTTTTTTCTCCTACTCGACGCCAGGGTGGAGTTTGGAATCTGTTAAATTGCTCCTGTGGACAGGTGTCTTTTATACAGGTAAAAAAATGAGATTAGCAGCACTCCTTTAAGAGACTGCTTCTAATCTCAGCTTGTTACCTGTATGAAAGACACCTGGTAGCCAGAATTCCTGCTGAATGATAGGGGATCAAATACCTATTTCCCTCATGAACATGCAAATCAGTGCATAATTTGTTAGACATGCATTTCTTTTGAATTTTTTGTTGCTATTCTGTCTCTCAGTGTTACAATACACCTACCATTCGATTTTTAGACTGATCATTTCTTTGTGAGTGGGCAAACATTCAAAATCAGCGGGGGATCAAATCCTTATTTCTTCACTGTACATACACATAGTCTCTATTTCAGTACCTTAACAGATGGCTCCTCATCACTGTCTGATGACTCTTCCTCTGAGCTCTTATCTGCTGGTTGAGATGATTTTAATGGGGTCTTAGCAGCAACCACTGGTATCTGTTTGATGCCCAAAGAGAGAGTTTTTGGCTGAGGTGTTGAACTAACAGTGGCAGGTGTCTGTTAAAATAAACAATAGCTGCAGTGAATTACTGGGAAATACAGCAGAGCGCATATTTTAAAGATCATACATTTTCAGAAAGTTTAATTCTACATGTCCACGAACGACTTGTATATTTGGACACCTATGAAAATGCCCATCAAGTTTCAGCATTTTATTCCAGGGCAAAAGAAAGGTTTCTTCTCTGGACCAAGCCATGCTTTGCAAATTCAAACAAAGCATTAACAGGAAAGATCCTCCCCCTTTCTCCTCAAGAGTTTGATAGATGCGATGGTTTGGTTTAGGATACCCTGGATGTTCAAGAACAGGTATCTCTTTCCCTTTACAATCTTCAATAAATCATCCAGCTCTTTGAGGAAAAGCTTTTACCTGGAGGATTTGGGATCTCTGTCTAGAGCAGTGGTTCTCAACCTGTGGGTCGCGACCCCTTTGGGGGTCGAAAGACCCTTTCACAGGGGTCGCCTAAGACCATTGGAAAACACATATTTCTGATGTGTAAAGAGCAGCTATTGTGTAGAAAGCAGCTGCTGTGTTGAAAGCAGCTACTCTGTTAAAAGCAGCTACTGTGCTGAAAGCAGCAGTATTGGAGGTAAAACGACACTTCATGAATTATAATTACTGGGTAAATAATGTTATGGTTGGGGGTCACCACAACATGAGGAACTGTATTAAAGGGTCACGGCATTAGGAAGCTTGAGAACCACTGGTCTAGAGTATCTCTAAGAGGCAACACTAAGCTCCTCCAGAGAATCCATCTCCCTTTCCTCAGTTTTCAGAGATGGCTTTTTAATTACGCAGTCGCGTAAGGCTTCGTGCTCACAGGGGCCACACAGGCGCCTGTTTGGCCTCATGGAGGGATGAGAGAGCCCACCAGGGGGGACCGGGCCGCAATTGCCCCCTGGGTTGCTCTGACGCCTCAGCAGGACCGTCTTTACCGTGAGGCTGTGGGGCCCAAAGCAACTGCTGGCAGTTTGTGCAGAGGGAGACTGACATGATATGATAGCGGTAAGCTCAGCAGCAGTTTTCCAGCGCTGCATACAGTGCTCATCTGCATAGGAGGTGGACATGATCGGGGCTGCAATAGTGGCAGTTGCTCATGCCCCCGCCGCCTCTCAGCCAATCCGCATTTGGCACTATACTTTAACCTGAACCCCTTCCTCAGCTGCTACATTATGACTCAGAAGAGGCAGTTGGAGTGCCTGGATTGGAACCAGCAGGAGTCAGAACTGTTCCCTGTACTTGTTTAGCAGTAAGTAGCTAAAGCAGGTTTGAATTTGCTATTTAGAAGAAGTTGTGCATTGCTGAAAGATAGAATTTAAAAAATGGCTACTTAATTGCTCCTGGGAGTTGTTGCAGAGCTGATTTAATATGTCAAAATTGTTTACATAAAAAGGGACAATTTCACTAAATGGGGATGAAGGTGCCTTCAAATTGCCAACATAGAATATATTAGATTATCTCCTGTAGTACATCCGTAGTCTCTGATAGTTTCCTGTAGTATGTCTGCAGTCTCTGATGATCAGCAAACGCACCTTCGCCTGTGTAGACAAGAATCCTTGTACCGGACCTGGACATGCCTAAAGGCTTCCTGGTGAAGGAGGAGGTAAAAAAAAAAAAAAAAATCCCCACTGAGTGAAGGATGGCGACGAGGACAGAGCTGCACTTCATATGCTGCATGTGTAGTCTGCATGGTGCATTACATAAGACTCATTAAAGGATGTGTGTAAGGGCTACCATGCGCATGGGGGCTTTTCTGTTCCTGGTGGCATCATGCAGACTGGCTTTCTCCTGGATCATCTACAGTGCATGCTACATCTGCATGGTGCATTACATAGGGCTTATTGGGATCATAGGATGAGGTTATCATGCGCACTGGAAACAGCCATGGTCCTCTATTCTCATATGTCTGTCCCTTCCTTATGGACCCTAAAGCACATTCTGAGGGTACCAAGCATGCTGACCTTCCTCTGGATCGTCGACAGTGCTCCACTCCACATACTACATGTGTAGTCTGCATGGTGCATTGCTTTGGTATCACTGGGATCATAGGATGTGTATAGAGATCATCCCTGGTCCTGCATTATTGAATGTCTGTCCCTAAAACACATTACACATGAATGGGGATGGCTGTTAGGGTTACAATGGAGTACATGCTGTTAGGTTCAAACACTGTGATGCAGTACTGCTTTCTTCGATGCCATAGCATGTCCAAGTTTTTCCTAAGGCCTCACAAAGCCTACAGCCGCCTCAGTTTCCTTACTCCTCTCTGGGACGCAAATAGATGGCACGAAAAAAGGTAGGCTAGGGGGCCTTAGATCTAAAAGCATAAATCTGAAACCTGAAAAGTGGCCCTATCTCCTTAAAATTGGATAGGATGTTTTTACAGGCTGCCATGGACTCCTTATGCACAAGCTTGTCACTACAAGCATTACAGCGGGGCTTGCTTCAGCTATCCTTAAGCGTAGCTAAACAAGAGAGGCATTTTCTCCTAGGCTGTATTCACACCTGAGCACCGCAGTTTTTGAGTTTTTTTTTCGGGCGTTTTGTCACATTTTTGTACAGTGTTTTTTTAAGAGTTTTTGAGCTTTGGCATTTTTTTAATAGCCAATAGAGAAATATATAATCGGTTTCATCATTTGTTGCTTTTTTAGCTTTTATTTTTTTTTATGATTATTATTCATTTCTTATTAATTTTTTGTTAAGAAAGTAGTTAGATTTAAGATTAGTATTACAGGTTAAGTTTAAGGTTAGGGGTTAAGTGTTACAATTTGGGTTAGGGCTTATTATTTTGTAATCTTATTTATTTTTTGTTAGGTTTGGGTTGTTTATATATTTACTCAGGGGTGCGGAAAGCATTGCACCAGTGATCAGCAGATTGAGGGTGTAATGCATGGCTCCTGCAGACTGTCAGTGTATTTGTCTGCTGGAATCTTGTACAGGCATGCAGTTTCCCACTGACAGGAAAAATCAATGAACTACCTAGAGCGCTCAACAGCTTTAATTTAAAATGAATAATTTTAGGCCTCAAGAGAACATAAAACCCCCAATTATATTATATATATTTTCTGAAAGCAGAAGCCTAAAGAATAAAATAATGGTAGCTCCAGTTTTTTGGGTCACACGATATTACCTCAGAAAGTCTAGGAAATGCAAAAGTTCAATTACCCAATTTTTGGTAAAATATAAAAGATGAGGCTGCAACGAGTAAATAGATTTGCAACATGTCAAACTCTAAATTTGAGGGTGCCCGTGACATGGTGACAAACTTTAGTACCCTACTTTTTCTATAGGCAACCCTTTAAAAGCCCCCTATAGGTCAGCAGTTTAGCATTACAGAGGAAGTCTGGTGCTAGAATTATTGCACTCATTCCAGCATGTGCGGCGATATGCAACATGTGTATCGCAATCAATGTTTTTATGCGTAGGCGGCCCAACACGCGAGTTTATGTTCGTACCTGCAGATATGTGGGAGTTTAAAATTTTGGGGGGGAGGATTATGTGCTTGGGTGTAACTAAGTTTTATTAAAATTAAACTTTTTTTGTTCCATGTGCTGACTTTTTGGTGACAGGTTCTCTTTAATGAAATGTCTCCCCTGTACTCCACGGAATGTAATGCAGTGCAGATCACACTTCATTACATTCTTTCCCGGCCTTGGTGGTTGAGGACACTGACAATGGGGACCTGGGAGTGATGTCATACATCTCGCTTCTGGGCCAGGAACAAGATAGGGAGGAGAGCAGAAGTATGTCTGTTTTACTCCCTCCCCACTTGGTGGCATCTATGTCGGTCCCGGGCCAGTAGATGGGCAAGCAGAACCCGGGATATATAGCGAGGGAGGGGGGCACTTTACCAGCACATGTGGAAGCAAATCGGGCTGCAGCAAAAGCAAAGAAGAAGATGGAAGGGTTAAATGTACAAGAATAAATAAAACACAACCTACCTGCCTGGCTCCTGGAACTGCACACGTCCCAGGCATCGGGCAATACAACTTGCGCATTGCGGATTATTTTATTAATAATGATTTATTTTTTGTTAGCATGTTTATTAAATTTATTTTTAGGGTTAGGGGGTTAAGGTTAGGGGTTATTACATATTAATAGTTAATTATAGTTATTATTTATGATTTTTGTGCATTTTATTTTTTTTCAACTTTTCATTTGAGCAGAAAAAATGCTCCAAAAACGCGCAACATGGGATAATGCTAAAAAAAACCCATGCGTTCCATTCATTTGTGTGTAATTAAAAATACTCCGAAGACATGAAAATCTACCCAATTAAACCAACAAAAAAAGCTCCAGAACTTGTTTGAGCTTCAGGCGACTTGGAGTAGAGATGTGAGCCATCACCATTAAGAATAATAGATAGCTACAAATTGCTCAGGTGTGAATAGGTCCTTAGTCCCAAATTTATTCTTCGCCTTGGGCAGAGCCCGAGCCTGCAAAAAAAAAAAAAAAAAAAAAAAAGGGAGAAAAGGAAATGGAGAAAGCCAGCTAACAAAAGTCACAAGCATGTGCACTGAAAATAGCCAACAAGTGCCTAAATATGGGAAACTTTAGAGGGACATAGCAAGCCTAGCATATCTACAGGATAGTGGAGAGGGGAGAAATAAAAAAAAAAAAAAAACCCACTTCACCCCTCACAAGGAAAGGGAAGTAGCAAAGTCCAGGATTTCTCCTACCGGTGCCATGCTGGTGCAGCAACTGGTGCCTGCCTCCACAGCTGCTGTGTTCTCTAGAATCATCCTGCATAGTGCACAGCTAATAAGCACCTGGATATAGAAAAATTGCTCCACTCACTATGGGGAACATCTTTTTATTCTTTTAAATGATCTGTTGGTTCTCAGCATCCTCGTACCATGTGGGACCTGGAACTGGAAGCTGCTCGCCAGATGCCCGTTCCCTCCTCCTGCACTCCACGGGCCTAAACTCCTATAGTACAGGGCCGCCCCAACTGAAGTGAAACCTTTGACACTGATCAGGGGACAGAAACCGCTGAAAC